ACAGATCCATAGGTATGTCCCTTCTCGGTCTCTCCGCTCTTCCCGTGACCACCTCCTGTCCATTGTCCGCACCCGTACGGCCAACTCGCGCTTGCAGGACTTCTCGCGGGCGGCTCCCTTCCTATGGAATAGTCTGCCTACCGCCATCAGACTCTCCCCTAGTCTTGCATCTTTTAAGAAGTGCCTTAAAACCCATCTCTTTAGGAAAGCTTATGGCCTCCAAGACTAACCCCTACCTCACATACCCGTCTCTTGCCCTCTATTAAAGGGCAGCCCACCTTATTTGATTGCAAATTCCTGTCCTAATGTGTTTTACACCCCACCTCCTATAGAATGTAAGCTCGATTGAGCAGGGTCCTCTTCAACCTGTTGTTCCTGTAAGTTTATTTGTAATTGTCCTATTTATAGTTAAATCCCCTCTCATAATATTGTAAAGCGCTACGGAATCTGTTGGCGCTATATCAATGGCAATAATAATAATTGACTTCTATATTTCTATATTTCTTTTCACTGAACTCGAAAAACTCCACCCTGATGTCATTTTTTTTAAATTTTGTCCACATCTGCTGTTTTAGGTATTTCTTGGGTCAGATTAAAGCGACATTAAACTTTCCTATAAAATCCTCCTCCTTTCCTGCTCACACTGTAAACCCCTTCACAGAAGCTGTACTGTGAGTGTACTCAGCACTGTTTCCTGTCCAGGTCAGAAGACCAGGACACAATGTTGTTTATCCACATGTGCAAACAGTACACGTCAATCGAGTAAAGGTGTGAGCAGGAATGAGGAAGCAGAGTGTATTTTGTGTTCTATGAATACTTGGACAACTCAGTGGGAATTATAGATTTTTTAATTCAACATCAACATGCAATGGCAGGATGTAGTGCGACATTGCAAAATAAAAATAAATATAACGGTGCTTTGTACATAGATATAGGTGAGATTTTTATGGCATAGACACATTAATGACTGCTATAGCAGTTGCCCAGGTATTTAACCATCTATTTATTTATAAAACCTGACCCAAGAAATACCTAAAAGAGCAGATGTCAACATTTTAAAAAATGACCTCAGAGTGGGGTTTGCAAGTTTAAACAGCAAACTGTTCTTTTGCCGTCTTTCTACAAACCTAATGCCGGTCTGCAAGCTGACAATTAACGATTTACACAGGGGATCGCCTTTAATAGTAAGTGAGCATTTGATCTACAAAGCTAAAGTGACAAGTTAGTTCTCACCCAGTGGAATTCATTAAAAGCAAAGTAGATAAATTTATGACAATATTTTGGTTCATTAAGTCAATTAGGCTAGCACAGGTTAAATGGTAATCAACCTCCAAATAATGACTTGCCAAATGGTAAAGAACTCGTTCATCAAGGTGTTTACTGAACAAGATGCCCCGGGGGAAAATATTCATATTGCAATCCTCCTGGATATTATTCTGCAATGTGAGCCCAGTACACTGCTTATTCCAATGATTATTGCAAGTATGAGAACTGATGCGTGTTATTGCATTGGCATGAAAAGAGATTTCTTCATACAAAGAATTAAAGTATTTGGAATAGGAGTAAACTAGTTCATAAACACATATTTAAGTGGGATTCTACCATTTCCTACATTGATTATTGTATATGATTTAGTGAAATAGCAAGTGAGAGTATTTATACAATATTAATTTATCTCTGATGACAGAACCCTGCTATGTGTGCCTCAATGTTTAATAATTATCAGTTTTGATGACGTTTCTACTTTTTATGCAAATAGTCTTACTTTTCCCATAATCTATCAATTATTCCCTCGGTTTCTGCAAGTTAAGGCAGTTTTGGAGGTAATTTTACTAATGCTTTCCTATGGGTAATTGAGCGACGCTGGAGGTCCTCACACAGCGTGAGGACGTCCAGCGATGCTCTAGCACAGAACACCTGTGCTAGAAACCAGGAAGTGCCCTCTAGTGGCTGTCTACTAGACAGCTACTAGAGGTGGAGTTAACCCTGCAAGGTAACTTGCAAGGTTAAGGGTAGTGGCCAATGGGCAGAAGTGGTCTGGGTGCCTACAGTGTCCCTTTAAGGGATATGTAATTCAGGCCCAACAGACTTGATGATTGGAACTGCTATAGGTATTGATACCAGCTGTACCGCTTCTGCTATCCACGTTTCATTTGCAGTTTTGTAAACAGACTAGTTTGTGGTAAATGCCTGGTCCTATGCCCGGGCCTGCAAGCTATGTGTCTTGGGCTCTCACAGAGCAAGTCATTAAAAGTGTGGCGTTTATTATAGCATTTAACCATTTATCTCAGATTTTAGAGAAGGAAACTACAACTTCATAGCTGGAGTGATTTGTGTAAAACATTGAGATATAAGAAGGAATGGATGATTGAGTGAATTCATTTTCTTTTTCATTTGTTGATGAATAATGTCATTACAGTGCAAAAATAATTAACTGTTTTGTAGTAATATTGAATGGACATTTGAAACATGTTCTGTGACCACAAATCTCTAACTCTGTCCAGTTTCTAACTTTCTCTAACGGTGAGTCAGACGACAACTTTATGAAAAGTCAAATAATCATCATTTCATGTTAAAGAAGCTTTAGGGAGTTCATTAAATTACCCAGTGGCCTTAATGAAGCTATTTTCCCGTAACGCTGACCTGTGGGAGTCATTAAGACAATAAATTGAACAACTAGCAGGTGTTAATGTTTGTTGATTATCAAGGTTCTAAACAGTGGAACTGGGAGACAATTAAGAATTCACTAGAGACTCATCGAAGAAAGAGCAAAATGGTAATTTAACGAATGGTAATTACGTTAATACAAACGCTGCTGACGTTCATTGTTGTTTTAGAGAATGATTATTGCAGGTCGATTATTTTATAATTATTTAAATCTGAAGTCTGTTTATTATAGAGGAATTAACCATTTCAGAGAGTACTCCTAACTTTTGTGTCTTTAGGATTGCATATTTGTAAAGTGCTTTGAGTCTCGCAGGGAGAAAAGCGCTATAAAAATTGCAAATTATTATTATTATTATATGATTACTACTATGGTCACAACCTGCCATCTGCTAAAAGCCAAACCATACTGCTAACATGTAGGCACTGAAAGTCTTATATACTTTGCTATTAAGAGGATTTTCTGCTTTGCAATTGTTAATAAAGGAGTATGTTTAGATATTGTATATATATTTTTCATATGAATTTAATATTATTTCACATTCATAAGTGAATTAAGCTAGGAGGAAACAGGAAACAATTGGAGTCATGCGCAACTCAATATTGTTGTTTGTTATCTAAATTAGAAGCATAGTTGACTTGGCGAGCATTGCTATTAGGTGCCCCCATTGAAAATTTTAATAAAATAAAGTTCAAACATCCTGAATCCAGCACTGCTTCCCTTCCTTTGGCGTCTGATGTCACAGGGGGTTTCAAGCAGAGGCACAACACATCCAGGCTCCTACCTCCATGACCACTTCAAATCACTTTGCATTCACAGGGGAATAGTCCTGACAATGTTTTATGGTTACTGTGCCAAGGGCAGATTTGAAATGTACCAGATGATACAGTCCATGGCTCTCTGCTTTTTATACTGAACCTGGGCTTCATGATTAACGTAAGAGCTCGGAAAAACTCACAGAGACCATGGCTTGCACTTGACTTATGTATATAGAGTGTAAGCTCACGGGCTATCTAGCTATGCACTTTGTATAAAAGAGCTTCAATGGCTAGATATCAGCTTACGGGCAGGGTCCTCTCTACCTTTTGTATTTGTCTGTGTATATTGTACGTCCTCCACTAATTGAAAAGCGCAGCGGAATTTGTTGGCAATACCAGTAATACATAAATAAATATGGCAGCAAATGGTGCAATTGTGCGATTTCACAATTTTATGTCAACTTAATCCAAAACATCCAAAAACAACACAGTTTATACATAAAATGCCAAGTGCACCAATTCTGCTGTATCAACTCTTTCCAGTAGGTGGAGCCAGCCAGCATATATTCTAAATTTTCTTGTAAACCAATGAACTAGACGTTTTTATTTGCCAATAACGATCTTTATTTGTTGTATTACTACGAAAAAATACACTATGTCTCTGTTGCATGCGTATATAAGGGGGCAGGGCCGCATAGAGCAAACTGACCTTGGGGAAGAATAGAGGGGAAATTAAATTAAAGTAGCAGTGAAGGGTGGCCCTGGGAGAGGAGGACACTGCTAAAACTGGGAAACACTGGTAAAGCGGCACTGTCATGCCGAATCCCGTTTAGTTTTTTTAACCCCCCCCCTCCCACCTTCACTACATCCAATTGACCCCCTAGCCACCCCCAAATGCCCCTAAGCCCCCACATTACCTTTTTTTTTAATCTTTATTTTCTGCCCCGATCTATATTCAGGGCGCCGCCATCTTTGTGTGGGTAGATGAAGTCCCTGTGGGACACGTCATCAGCCCACACTAGATAGACTGTGAAATTCCCGCACATGCCCAGTGATACACCTGGACATGCGAACGGGAATTTCATCCATTCATTCATTCATTCATTCATCAGACAGACGAATGAGTGCATAGAAAAATCAGACGAACAAACTAACACTGTGTATCAGTGTTCATTCAGTTTATTACAAGGAGGGAGCTACCGGCACGCAGCTCCCTCCTTGTAATATGTAACTATAGAAGCAGCAGGGAGCAGTGCTCCCCGCCACTTCATAAGCCCCCCAGGTCCCCCCTCACTCTATGGGGGTCAATATGACCCCCATAATAGCATAAGGGAGATTAAAATCTCCCCAATGCCCCTACTTGCTATACCAGCCTGTGGCCGCTCACTGTAAAAAAATAAATAAAAACCTATTGTTTAGGGGTGGGGGCCCTAAAGTAAAATAAGGGGGGAGACCTATTGTCCCCCCCCGGCCTCCACCCCTGCGCGGTGGGTGGGGGCCATAAATTACAATGAGGGGGGGACCTACTGCCCTCCCCCTAGGGCGGCGAGTGGGAGCAATAATGATAATGAGGGGGGTGACCTACTGTCCTCCCCCCCCAGGCCCCCACCCCTGCCATCCAATCACCGTGCTCTGTGTCATTTTACACAGCGTGAGATTTCCAGGGGTGGGGGCCTGGGGGGAGGACAATAGGTCTCCCCCCTTATTTTACTTTAGGGCCCCCACCCGTCATTTAGGGGTGGGGGCCAAAATGTTTTTTGTTTTTTTTGTATCAACTCTTTCCAGTAGGTGGAGCCAGCCAGCATATATTCTAAATTTTCTTGTAAACCAATGAACTAGACGTTTACTATACATGCCCCTACTCGCAGTATAGTGAGTAGAGGCAGCATTTACGAATACTAAGTAATTTTTACTTAGTATTAGTAAATGTGGCTGAAAGACCAATTTAGGTCTTTCAGCCTTTTAGTAGATAACTCCCTGATACCGTGGGAATTAGGGAGTTATCTACTAAGCGGCTGCAAGATGCAGTCACAGCACAAATAGTATCGGAGTTTCATTCATTCTAATGAAATTCCAACACGAATAAAGTGCCGAATTGCGTTCTAAAACAAACGAACATACTGTTCTCATTCAGTTGGAACGCAATTCGGCAGTTTCGTCTAAAATGACAGGAAGCATCGCGGGAACACAGAGAAAAGGTAAGAATTATGGGAAAATTGCTCTGACCAGCGGAAATGAAGCACACTTTGCTCCTCCGCTGGTCAGAGCTGGTCAAGCGGAGGAAACCTCCATAAGGCAAAGAGTCCCTACTTTGTCTTATGATTTTTAAAGAAAACTAAAGAAGACAGGAAGAAAAGAAGAACAGATCCTGAGAGAGGGGGAGAAGAGGAAGAGATTGAGGAAAGGTAAGTTCGGCATGACAGTGCCGCTTTAAAGAAGGGGATAATGAAACTACCAGGATAAGAATGGGAACGCTGCTCGAGAAAGGAATGACAGATAGGGAGAGAGGTGATATGCATGAGGTAAGAAAGGGACACGGGGAAAGGTGACAGGGATGAGAGAGGAAAGGGCAAGGGGAGACGAGGCATGACATGAATGAGAAAATGAAGAGACATGGGGACAAGAGAAAAGAGTGTTTCTTAATTTTTATATTTTAGCGGTTTAGTAGAGTGCTTCCTAGTTTGGTATCTATATATGGCAATCCCACATAAGGAAACCAAATCAGGGGGCCGTCTACTAAACTGCTTAAATCAAAATGAAGAAATGGGCTCCTTTCCTGTGTTTTTTTATTAATACCACTATTATTTTCATTAATATATTACATTATTGGCTATAGTAGATAGATGGATGCATCACTCCTTCCATACACAGGACATGGAATCCGGCCCTCATGTGAAAAAGGTTCATGGCCCCTGGTCTAGGCAATCCCAGTGACAGTGTCTAGGCCTTTTACCCAAGTCACTGGATTGATTAGGCAGGTTCTAGGGCTCGTATCACTATCCGGTTCCAAGAGGTTAGTATGAAAAAAATACTTTTTTGTAGTGGCACAAGATGAGCTAAAACCAACTTGAGATCTAAGCAGGCCCCACTGAAGGGCAGGTTATTTGCTGTTGTCCGTTCTCCGTATTCTCTTGCACCCTGTTTTTTCGCTCTCCCCAAGTATGAAGAATACTCAAGCCACTGCCTCCCCCTTTCGGCATCGAGAGAGCGCATCGTTTGATCGCTCCCGCCACTTTCTCTGTACTGGGAGACATGGGGCAGGAGCATATCAGAAAGTGGGGCTGAGACAAGGAGAGTGATGGCAGCCAGGCACAGTCAAGATGCCTACAATTTGGTAGGTACCATGGTTACTAAAGCTTGGCAGCTACCGAGAGATTTAACCAGTACTACTTGCAAATTATTTTACATACTGTTATGAGGGGAAAAAAAACGAGTCATATTAATAACAATGTTTGCTGCTCAGACAAGGGAATCAGAGCCCTACAAAGTATTTGCCTGGTAGCAAAGTCACGTTGCATGCACTGTATGCACCCTGTTCATTGTACTGGTGATCTAAATATTGTATTGTTTGAATGTTAGCTACCAGGGGTGTTGCTAGGTGCCTAAAACAATGAAAATCCACTCTACTGGGAGTGGCAGAGGTATGGTGGGTGTGGAAGGAGGGAAGGCGTGGCGGGTGCGGTGGGTGGGGATATGGGGGGTGTTAAGAGAAGGGCGGCACATGGTGAGTGTTAAAGAAAGGAAGCAAGAGGATTTCTGAGTAGGTGGGTATGAATGATTATGTTGGAGGGGAAATTATGGCTACAGGTGGGGGCATATTAGCTGCTGAAGAAGGTACAGAGTGGCCATCAAAAATAGTGAGATGGGGACAGAGTGAGCATCCAATGCTGCCTCATCTGAACAAGAGTGGTGTAATATCTACTCAGAGCTGAAATATCACACTAAAAATATTGTATGTCCCCAAAACGTCTGAGCCAGGTTCATATAGTAATATTTCATAATCTACCTTTCTTGAGCCACGTGTGCCAGTGGACCTCACTACGATAATATCACTTTCCCACCTCTACCTCTAGTGCCAAAACATTTCAGAGCCACATAATCCTCCAATAATATTTAATCTCACTCTCCTTTTCCTCCATTTCTACAACGTAATTCTTCTAAATGCTACTATTGATAAAGTCACTTTTCTCTGACATTCCTTAGAAATTCAGATCACATAACTCCATTCAGAATCAATACAGACAGGCACCTCTATAATCATATTCACGAACTATCCCGATTTATGTCTTATTCATCTTTCCTACTGCAATGAGTTTTCAAAAGCCTTCTTCAAGTGGTATTCAAGCCACTTTCAATATTTAATAATATATCTACACACACCGTGCAACCACATGTTTAATATAGCAACGCAGGCCGTTCTCGCAAGAGTTGCAGTGAGAAAGAGCTGGAAAGACAAGATGCTGGCCCCTTCTCACCACTTGCTATGTTGCATCGCTTCCTCATCTCATCCTGACACAATCAGATACCTCCTTGCACTATACACACACTGACATTTCTCACTTCACTCTACTATGGGCATCCGCAGGAGGTGGCATTTGCCCCCCCCCCCCACCCCCCTGGATTTTTCAGCTTGTGCTGCTATTCTTGCCATACTGGCACTGGCCAGTAGGCGCTGTGAATGGAGAAAGGCAGGGATAGGAAGCTACATCTTATCCCAGCTTCTTTCTCCTGACTGCATCCACAGGGGAGCAGCACGGAGTGCAGCCAGCAAGCATGGGGGGGGGCGACCTACAGATCAGGTAAGTGAGGGATGGGGGGGCAACCTACAGATCAGGTAAGTAAGGGATGGGAAGGGCAACCTACAGATCAGGTAAGTAAGGGATGGGAAGGGCAACCTACAGATCAGGTAAGTAAGGGATGGGTGGGGCAACCTACAGATCAGGTAAGTGAGGGATGGGGGGGCAACCTACAGATCAGGTAAGTGAGGGATGGGGGGGAGACAGCCTACAGGAAGGTAAAGTAGAAGGAGCAGAAAGGTCAGGGGGATCAGCAAGGAAAAGGGGCAGCAAGAAGCAGGAATGGGTAGGAAAGGTTTGCAAGTAGAAGGAGCAGAAAGGGTCAGCAAGGAGCAGGAAGGGTCAGCAAGAAGGAGCAGCAAGGAGCAGGAGGGGTCAGCAAGGAGTAGGAAAGGTCAGCAAGGGGCAGGAGGGGTCAGCAAGGAGTAAGAAGGGGCAGCAAGGAGCAGAAGGGGTCAGCAAGGAGCAGGAGGGTGAAGTAGAAGGAGCAGAAATGAGCAGGAAGGGTCAGCAAGGAGCAGGAGGTGTCAGCAAGAAGTAGGAAGGGTCAGCAAGGAGTAGGAAGGTTATGCAAGGGGCAGGAGGGGTCAGCAAGGAGTAGGAAGGGTATGCAAGAGGCAGGAGGGGTCAGCAAGGGGCAGAGGAGGGGTCAGCAAGGAGTAGGAAGGGTATGCAAGGGGCAGAGGAGGGGCCATCAAGGAGTAGGAAGGGGCAGCAAGGAGCAGGAGGGTGAAGTAGGAGCAGAAATTAGCAGGAGGGGTCAGCAAGGGGCAGGAAGGGTCTGCAAGGGGCAGAAAGAGAAAGGAGCAGAAGGGCGCAAAATAAACAGAAAGGTAAAGGAGGAGAAGAAGCCAAGGAGAAGAGAAGACAGTGTCAGAAGAAAAAGAAGACTGTGTCAAATGAAGGAGAAGAAAATGAAATTGGAGCAGGAAGGACATGTGAAGTGATCCCTCCACTTCATTCTGGACACCACATCATAAGGCTTTGGTACCTGGGTCTGGCAGGAAACTTTGGACCTTCTCATCTCCCCAGGTAAAAAACATATCAGTGTTAATGTTTTCAAATGTATTTACTGAGTGTCAGGAAACACAGAGGGCCGCTAGGTAGGGGTGCCGCTGATTGGCTACAACGGTCAGCTGGCACTCTAAGCCAATCAGTAGCTCCCCATTCATAAAAACGTAAAAAAATTTATGAATCGGGAACTAGCGATTGGCTTAGAGCGTCAGCTGACCACTCTAGCCAATCAGCGGCACGCATGCCTGGCGTCAATCTGCACTTCCTGACACTCTGTTTCAGAAGCCGAATACCACTCAGCAACCTGGCGATCTGGAGCTGGAGGAAGCCTTTGGGGTTAAACCATTTGAGCGGTTTAACCCCTTAAAGGAAAGAGAGCACCCAGGGGCCTCCTGGCATCATAGCATTTTCATTTAGATGAAGTTGTTATGGTGACCAGAATGTTCCTTTAATTTGCTTAAAGGAACACTATAGTGTCAGGAATACAAACATGTATTCCTAACACCATAATTGTTAAAACACTATTCAAAAAGGGGCCAAGCATGGATGTCATTACAATTATGCCCCCCCCTCGGAAAAATTCCTGCAGACGCCCATGCACTCTACCACCTTCCACTTTACACTCTGCATTCACCACACACACGCACGCACACACTCTGTATTCACCACACACACACTGCATCCACTCTGCATTCACCACACACACACACACTGCATCCACTCTGCATTCACCACACACACTGCATCCTCTCTGCATTCACCACACACACACACACTGCATCCACTCTGCATTCACCACACACACACACACACACACTGCATCCACTCTGCATTCACCACACACAAACACACATTGCATCCACTCTGCATTCACCGCACACAAACAC